TACCTCTCGATTGACCCATTAGGACGACGCTTTATCTTGTAAACCCATTTACAAGATATGGGTTTCACATCTTTTATCTTTAGCACAAGATCCCAAGTTTTATTTTGCTAAAGTGCATCAATCTCTTCTTTCATAGCTGTCATCCACTCAGAACTCTATGATGCTTCTTCGAACGTCTCAGGCTCTGTTACTTTTTCAATTATGGCTGCATTGGAATATTTAGGATTTGACATTCGTATTCTTGTTGATCTTCGGAGTTGAGGTCCACCTTCTTCGTTTAGTTGTTGATATATGTCAGTTTGCCAAGGATTCTGAGTCACTCTTTGTTCGATATCATCGTCATTTGGATCTACTGATTCATATGTGCTTGTTTGTAGTTGAACAGTATGTTCCCCCATCTTTTATTGCAACTTGTCTCCAAATTCTCTCGAGTCTGGTAACACCTCCTTCTCTGAGGATCACCAAGAAGATGTTTAATCAAATACCACATTTCGTGATACGTAACATCTACCACACATTGGATCACAACATTTCCACCCATTTCTCTGACTGTCGTATCCCACAAAGATACATCTAACAACTTTCTTGTCAAACTTGCTTCGTAAATGATCAGGAACAAACACATAACATACACAACCAAATACTCGAAAGTAGCTAACTGTAGGTTTCATATTCCGTAGTTTCTCAAAGGGTGAAACAAATTCTAACCTTGGTTGAGGAAGTCTGTTGATAACAAAGGATGCAAATCCTCATCACAAAGGCTGCAGTCCTCATTGCTTCAGCCCAAAACCTTCCAGGTACATTCTTTGCATGTAGCATACTTCGACAAATTTTTGCAAGATGTCGATTTTTTCTTTCCGCTACACCATTCTATTGTGGCGTGTTGGCACAAGTGTACTGATGACGTATTCGACATTCCCTTAGGTATTGAAGGAACTCGTTTGATTTATATTCTCCTCCGTTGTCTGTGAGCAATCAACATATCTTCTTTCTCACTTCTCCTTCAGCTGAGTCTCTGAACTCTTTAAACTTTGAGAATGCGTCAGATTTTTCTTTCATAAAGAAAACTCACACATACCTGGAGAAATCATCAATGAATGTTACCATGTACCGCATACCGCTAATTGACTGTTGCTTAACCGGTCCAAACACATTAGAGTGAACCAACTCCAACGGTTCTTTTGATTTAAACTTCGACTCGTCATAAGGTAATTGATATGCTTTACCATACTGGCATCCTGCACAGACCGTGTCTGTTCTCACGTCTAGTTGAGAAAGTCCTTTAAGCATCAACTTCTTTACCATCACACTTAGCTTAGAATAGCTAATGTGACCTAACCGCATGTGTCATAGATCTGATGTCTCATTTTTTCTTGTCCTGTCTACATATGCAGACTCTGCTGACATCACGTAGATTGACTCCAAACGTCGTCCCTCCATTGTTGGTGTTTCTGAGATTTTAACGTCACGATAAACTTTCACGTCTTGGGGACCAAATAAGACATAATGGCATGATAATGTTAATTGAGCCACAGATAGCAAATTTTTCTTCATTCCTGAGACATGATAAACATCTTGAAGTTGCACCTGGTTAGAATTATATCGAGGCGTAACTATCGTCTTACCGATGTGAGTTATCGGTAATCTTGAATTGTCAGCTGTCACCACCACACGACCTCCATTATACTCAGACAGGTTTTGCAACTTCTGTTTGTCACCCGTCATATGATTTGAGCAGCCCGAATCTACGATCCAATCATTCTTGTAGTCAATGCGTTATGGTGTTGTTACCGTGAGAGCTAATTCTTCTTCTTCCGTAGCATAACGCTTCAACATCCCAACCATCTTCACTATTCTCCTTCGAACTAGAAGTAGCAGTATTACTTTCAACAGGCTTTTTCTTGGTCCAACAGTCTTTTACCATGTGGCTCATCTTCCCGCAGTTGTAACATTTGCCATCAAACTTTCTACTATTACCGCGATTCTTGGAAGCTCCCCTTGAATGAGGGTCTCCCTTTCCTTGGTAATTTTTTACCTTGTCACCATCTTTTTAGATCCACTGCCAGTATACCGCTGAAAAGTGTCTCAACATTTGCTAGTGTAGAGCGCTTCCTCTTCACCCTTCAGCGAAACTCCTCCCATTTGCTTGGCCATGGCTTCTTGACCTGCAAGCAAATTTTCAAACTCAACAAGCGATGGTTGTGTCGGCCATCCCTGTACAGCGACAACAAACCCTCGATATTCAGGTCTCAAACCATGGACAATTATTCTTTTTATCCTTGCTTCCCCAATAGCAGCTGTCGGATCTAATTCTGAAATTTCACGACATATCGACTTCACCTTGTGAAAGTATTGGGCAACCGCCATGTCGCGTTGCGCCATTGATAGAAATTCATTCTCGAGAAGTTGCAATTTTGTATCGTTCCTCTTCGAAAAGAGTGTAACAAAAATGTCTCATGTTTCCTTTGGTGTTTTAACATCCCGGATGTGCTCCAATATTTCTTCTTCAATTGTGGTCTTTAAAGAAAACATTGCTTTGCATGCTTTAATTTTCCACTTTCGCAAGATGCCATTGGCAGCTTCTGCCGCCGGTTGTGTAACTTCACCACCACCGACAACCTCCCAAAGGTCTTGACCTTGTAAGTATGACTCCATACATGTTACCCACGTGTTGTAGTTTTTATTGTTGAGCTTCTTGATTCCTCCAACTACTTGAAGATCACTCATCTTAACAGCAAGGCTTTGACTACACCGAACAAGCTTGAGTAACAAACGTGCAGAGTACTAAATTACTCTAAACACAAATAAGCTCCGCAAGGTTTGTAATAACCCTGACAATAATCTCAAGAAATATTTTCTAAAGTGGAAGATCAGTTAAAACTGCAACCACATAACATACTCGAAATTTCAAGAGACCTTAAAAACGTGGCTCGAATACTAATTGTTGAATCAAAATAGAGTAAAAACTTTAATTGATCGAGAAGAAGAAAAATTCTCTTTAAAATAATCTCACAAAATTGCAAAAGAGAAGAACTCTTAAGAAAGCTTTCAAATGCTTATAATTAAGCTTTGATTGTTGGATGATAAAACTCAAATATAAGTAGGGTATTTATAGGTTACAAGAAACAATCTAAACCACTCATTAAAATAATCATTAAATAATCTAAACTATTGAAATTAAAACATGAGGAAAATACTTAATTTTCACCTAACTAAATTGATGTAAGCAATGACATCAAATTAATTTAGGTGTGAACTTATTTAGACTAATATTGAATTTTCAACAATTCATTCATTTGGTCTGGTGTAACCCTAAAAGGTTATTGTATCATGAAACAATCTAGTTCAGTATGCCAGAAGTAGTTCCATGCTTTATTCAAATTGAAATCACCAGCACCACCGAGCAGTGTGGAACAACAAATAAGTAAACAACTAAGACAAGCTAACGAGCACGCCTTTCTAAGATGTCCTTGACGAAAGCATCTATGTTAATATCTGAGGATCCGCCTTTCGCAATTGCTCTTCGACATGTTTCTCCAAGTTTTGCAGCCCTTTTTCTCATTTCCCTTTGCTCATTGTTCTCGTAATCCATAAAATTCCGCACAAGCTCTGCAATTTCATCTCTCCTCACCAAATGTTCACCTTCACCTACCTTGTTCTTCTTCACTCTCCACCCAATCTTCCAATCCTCTATCATTTGCTTACTATTAGGAGGCTGGTCCATAAATAAGGGAAAGGTCAGCGTCGGAACACCAGCATATGCAGCCTCAAGAGTGGAATTCCACCCACAATGAGTCCAAAATCCCCAACAGAAGAATGACATAGCACCCTCAGCTGATCACACCACGGAATAACTAGTCCTCGATCACCACAGCCGTCTTTGAATCGTGAAGTGTCACCGCGTGACACCCACAAGTAGCGAACCCCGCTATCTTGCACCCCAGCTACAATTTCATCCATTTGGGCAGCCGAAACTGATAGAAAACTTCCCATGGATACATAGACTACCGAACCTTTAGGCTGCAAATCCAGCCACTGAAGGTAGTCATGACCATTAAGACTGGTAGTTGTTGAAGAATGCTCTTTCAGGTCTAGGTAAGGCACGCTAGGGCCGATTGCATAGACGGGAAAAGGTAACCTTTCATTCAAAGCATCAATGACTTGGGGTTCAAGTTCGTAGACAGAGGTGAAGAGAAGATACTGTGCTTTAGGCATTGTTGAAATACAATCCAGAACAAGGTTCAAGACTTGCCGGCTATTTCCCCATAAAATTGATGGTAAATCTACTAAACGTGTGGAGTAAGCCCAGGGATGTAATCCACAAGTTCATTTCCCTTCTCTAATATGCACAAGAAAGAGGAAGGGTAAAGATAAAACTACACCCATTAAAACAAATGTATCAAGTAAACCGGTTAACATTTCCCAAATACAAAACCTAAGTTGTTGAGGCAAGTTTCACTTAAAAAGTTAATAAAAGAGAACCGACAAAACAAAAGTAAAAATGGGGACAAACCTGATAAATCAGCAGGGAAATGGTGGTTGTCGACGAAGAGGTTAAAATGGTGAAAAATGGACAAGATAGAAGCGGACATGGTCCAAAGGGAGGCCACCGGAATATTCCTCCGTTGCCCCGCTTGTAGCGTCCAAGGCACATAGGTATCAGCTATAATGGCGGTGACTGGGAGTTCAACTTCAAGGCGATCAAGGAGCTCCCCAAATGGAGCTTCCATCTTGGTGAGCACAGCTGCCAAGAAAGCAGGGAAGTCGTTGGCTCTTACAAATTCAGATGGGATTACGTTGGGGATGGTCCTAAATCGGACGTTAAGCGGCTTGCTGTCGGAAGCTATGAAACTCAACCACTCCTCGGTGACAACAAATGTTATGAGAATGGTGGGAATTTTAGAACAGAGCAGCTTGCAGAGGTTCATCATCGGATTGACGTGCCCCCTACCAGGATAAGGTACGGCCACAATGTGACATGTGCAGGTTGATGATTCCATCCTCTGGTGGTGACTATTAAGTAAAGAGAAATCAGAGCTCTTTAGCAGATTCAAAACTTATCTATAACCGGAGCTGGTTCGAGCGATGGGAGTTGCCGCTTTTATAACATGTGGCCCAACCCAACTACTTACAGTCTCAATATATCATTATTAGAGATGGTAACACGTACAGGGAGAAATGGTCTTGGAATTTTTTTTAGGTCTAATAAAAATTTAAAAATAGATTTTATAAAATAAAAGTATATTATGTTAATTTAAATAATTAATTTAATTAATATTATATTAATAAATCATAAAAACATATTTTATTAAACATATTATTTTTATTATTTTATTAAGAAAACACTTTAAATTCACTAACACATAATAAATAAAATGAATATAAGTATGATATGGAGCTAGATTTTTAATTTTCAATAATTTTAACTTTTTTTTTTGCTTAAATTTTATAATATATATTTATTTTTTATTTTATTTTTTATTTTTAATAACTTTATCTTTGTGGCACGTTTTTTTCTACTTTTATAACATGTTTTTTCTGTCTTTTAGCACGTTTTCTGTAGTTTGGTTGTTCTTTTCATTTTGTTCTTTTTGTTTTTATCTTTTCTCAAGATTTGATTTGACGGTGTATCGACTTATCAATATGACAATTATTTATTATCTTGATGATAATCTGCTTTGGACCCTCGAATTTGATTAAGATAAGTGGTTGTGTTCGTGAATAGTTTCCCATGTCGCTCGAACTTGATATTCGGTTTGTCGACGGTCTTTCAATAGTTTACATCCTTTTTGTGGTCCAAAGTCGGATCTATTATTATATATATCTTTCGTAACCGGTTTTCGTCCGGGCACGAATGTTTCTTGGACGGTGTATCGACTGATCAATATGACAATTATTTATTATCTTGATGATAATCTGCTTTGGGCCCTCGAATTTGATTAAGATAAGTGGTTGTGTTCGTGAATAGTTTCTCATGTCGCTCGAACTTGATATTCGGTTTGTCGATGGTCTTTCAATAGTTTATATTCTTTTTGTGGTCCAAAGTTGGATCTATTATTATATATATCTTTCGTAACCGGTTTTCGTCCGGGAACGAATATTTCTTGGACGGAAAATAAGTGAATAAATAAATGGTTTTTTAAGGAAATGTTTTGGAGTCGCCATCAACCTTTTGGGTTAGGTAGGTCGAATACCTAAAAATCATATTTTACAATAATTTTTAAGAAAACACCATTTTAAAAGATAAACCAGTCTGCGTAAAACCAGAAATTCATTCTTTTTAGTAATAAAAAGGGATTCGTGGTCGGTTACATTTGGGGAAGGATTAACACCTCCACAATGCCCAAAATTGATACCTCTCGATTATAAATTGTCTCTATTAGTGAAATTTAAGAAATCGAATATAAATTTAATTTACAATCCTTTTATTTCAGATTTAATCGGATAATTCTAAAGAAAAATATATTAAAATATTTTTTATAAAACAAAAGTAAATATATGTATATTTTTAGGGTTTTATAAACAAGATATTTATTTATTTAAAAATATCAGAATAGTACATCTAGTTATTTTAAGACATTCCTTTCTTAATATTTAAAAATAAATAAATATTATTATTTTGCTCAAATTATGAAATAGAACAATTTATACTTATAAATATTTCATATAAATATTAATACAACTAAACTAAAATAAAATTAAAATAAAGAGTAATAATTAAAGTGCTATATTTAAAGTATTGAAACATAAAGGGAAATAATAAAATAAAATAAAATTTCAATTAAACAGTGACCAAAATAAAACAAATTAAAACTATAGTATCATATTCATAAATAAAATAATAACATAATTAATTAATGACTAAAATGGAATAAAATAGAAATTAACATGCAAAAATCGAAATAAAATAAAGAAAAAATATCGGTGACCAAAATAAAAAACACTCCTAAACTAGAATGGCTTATGGATGATTAACCCACTAAGTAGTGATTTAAATATAAAAACACGCTGAGAGTTCAGGGACTTTAACGTGATTTACCCCAAAAATAAATTAAATCCCCTATTAACTAAAACTCAAAACTCAGCAAATATACAGGGACTTAAATTTGATTTACCCTAAACTAATGGCTAAAATGTAAAAGACGGGTAAACTAAGAGGACCTAAAAATAATTTACCCAAAACCTAAGCTATATATATGCATTATTTTTTGTTTGGCTAACCTAGCCACTCTTATCTTCCTCTTCTTTTCTCTCAACCGAGAAAAACCTCCAAGCTCTCCTCTCCTTGGCTCGACCGAGAGCCATTCAACGCCTAAACAAGCCACCACGCCGGTGGCCGGTCAGTCGGTCACTCCATAAACACTGTCGACTTTCCCCAAACAAAACCCGAACAATAAAACCTCTCAAGTAAACCTAAGTCCCGATTTGGGACAAAATCGATACCTAAAAAATTGAGCATTTCCCCGAAGCTTCAACCGATGCTTCACCGGCAACCGACGAAGAAACGACGGAGAGGTAAACCACTCTTCTTTTTTAATATTAACCTACTATTTTTTTATTTCAAAAAATAAATAAAATGTAAAATACAAAGCTAAAAAATAAAGACTAAATGTAAATATAACATTAGTTGTATTTTTGTTTCTGATTTTCTTTGTATATCTCTTGATTTCTTCCCTTTCAATTACATATTGTTTTGGGGTTTTTATAGCCCCATTTTACAAAAAAATTACATTATGTTCTTTTTTTGTGATGATGAGCTGATTCGGGACGTGGGGCTTTGGTGGCCACAGGTGGAGCTGTTGGCGACGTGGAACCTTGGTGACCATGGGTGTGGCGGCTGAGCTAGAATGAGGAGGGGCAGCTGGCTCCTACTGGAAGCTGCTAGAAGCTATAGGTGGAGGGACCAGCTGTTGTTGGTGCTAGAAGCTACTCGAACACTGTTGTGGTGGAGCTACAACGTGGAGGGGGCTACTGTTGAAGTGCTAGCAGCTGCTTAAGGCTAAGGTAAAAATGGTGATTACAACTGCCCCTCTTTGCTCGTTGATATGGAACAATAATGGAGCAAAGACATAAAACACCATTGTTAGCTTGAATTGTTCAAACTTCTAAGATATAAGTTCTTCTCATTATGAACTTTTCGCTCACTTCGGAAGAGTTCTTCTCATTATGAACTCTTTAACTGGGAATGATGATCCACCTCATTCTATGACAGAATCTAGCAAAAGGTTGAACAAGTTCTTCTCATTATGAACTTCTTTTTCCTCTTCAAATGAGTTCTTCTCATTATGAACTCATTCTCTGGAAATGTTGATGCTGATCTATCTCCTTCTGCGATAGAGTCGAGCAAAAGGCTGAACAAGTTCTTCTCATTATGAACTTCTTCTTCCTCTTCAGATGAGTTCTTCTCATTATGAACTCTTTCTGGAAATGTTTTAAGAAAAACAATCTCAAGTGAGATAAATTGCTATTTCTAGTGAAACTTTATTAAGCGAGAAAAAGTTTGTTTTAAGAAAAACAATCTCAAGTGAGATAAATTACTATTTCAAGTGAAACTTTCTCAAACGAGAAAAAATTTGTTTTAAGAAAAAAAAAATATCAAGTTAGATAAATTACTATTTCGAGTGAACCTTTCTCAAGCGAGAAAAAGTTTGTTTTAAGAAAAACAATCTTAAGTGAGATAACTTGCTATTTCGAGTGAAACTTTCTCAAGTGAGAAAAAAATTATTTTAAGAAAAACAGTCTCAAGTGAGATAAATTGCTATTTCGAGTGAAAGTTTCTCAAGCGAGAAAAAGTTTGTTTTAAGAAAAATAATCTCAAGTGAGATAAATTGCTATTTCGAGTGAAAACTTTCTCAAGCGAGAAAAAGTTTGTTTAAAAAAAACAATCTCAAGTGTGATAAATTGATATTTCGAGTGAAACTTTCTTAAGCGAAAAAAAGTTTGTTTTAAGAAAAACAATCTCAAGTGAGATAAATTGCTATTTCTAGTGAAACTTTCTCAAACGAGAAAAAGATTGTTTTAAGAAAAACAATCTCAAGTGAGATAAATTGCTATTTTGAGTGAAACTTTCTTAAGCGAGAAAAAGTTTGTTTTAAGAAAAATAATCTCAAGTGAGATAAATTGTTGTTTCGAGTGAACCTGTCTCAAGCGAGATGAAGTTTGTTTTAAGAAAAATAATCTCAAGTGAGATAAATTGCTATTTCGAGTGAAACTTTCTCAAACGAGAAAAAGTTTGTTTTAAGAAAAACAATCTCAAGTGAGATAAATTGCTATTTCGAGTGAAACTTTCTCAAGAGAGAAAAAGTTTGTTTTAAGAAAAACAATCTCAAGTGAGATAAATTGTTGTTTCGATTGAAATTGTCTCAAGCGAGATGAATCTTGTTTTAAGAAAAACAATCTCAAGTGAGATAAAGTTTTTGTTTCAAATGAAACTATCTCAAGCGAGATAAAATCTTTGCTTCGAAAATGTTGAATCTGAAGATGACTGGTCCCTCTTGCTGAGGAAGTCTTTTTGACTTTTAATCTCATTATTTCCTGAAAGACCTAAAAAATGTATCTGAATGCAACTATCCTGAATGTCCTCATGGGAAGAGAAAATGTCCTTGAGAGAGACAAGATTTCAAGAGAAATTTTAAGGGTACTCTCGTGAGAGGAAAAATTCAATTTTTTATTGCAAAAGAAGATGGATGTTTAATGCAATGATGCAAAATCATGTATGTATACGTGTATATGTATGTCGATACATGTTTTCTCGACTAAGGGCAGTGAAGAGGTGTTCAAGTAATCTTGGTTCTCTTCTTGATCTATTCTCCTTCATTCTCCTCCCACACCAAGGTGTACCATTTCATTTCTTTGCAAAAATCTGCTTTTCTGGCTCCCTAACATTCAAGTTCTTTTCTTCAATTTTGTTCTTGATAAAAACTGGATTTCTTTGCATGGACTTGTGTAAAAATCTAATAAAACTTTTATCTTTGAAAAGATAATATATCATCTTTGAAGA